TCATCTTTACTCGCAGCCAAGTTAATGGTTCTTCTGATCCTTCGTATGAAGCTCTATTAACTGTCCAGGATGAAAATAAATGTAGTCATGTATTTTAGTAATGACTTTATAATTATAAATATTTAATTATAAATATTTAAACATTGCTTTCTTTTACTTGCAATTATAGACATGTCCATTGTATTCGTCAACTCGAAAGCCATTAGAGTGGGAATTAGAAAATATAAGAGAAGACTATGATTCTTGGGATGGAGCAAGTACTTCAAACGTTGCTGAGAATTACTTTCATGAAAGTCGATATGATCGCCTCTAGTGTGAGAAAGATTTATTGCGAGCTCAACTTCAAAATTTGTCAATGATAATTCTTGAAATAATAATTATTATAATCACAATAAAAATAATGATAATAATCACGGCCCTTCTCGAGTCACCTTCAAGTATTTTATTATTGATGTGGCTTTATTTTCATGTTTATTTCTTTGGTTATAAATTGTAATATCTCATTATCATACATTATTGCTATATACAGCAGAGACAGTGCCCAATCCAAAGTGAATCCCTCTTACCTGGGATTAATTACAAATTAAATTATTTATGTTGGATTCAATAGTGATGGATATAATCCCTCCTCAGTTTTAATATATATGTAACATTAACTGTCTCTGCTGTAATTACTACAATGTACTATATTTAATATTTCAGTGTCATTATAAAAAAAATTACATAATAACACATTAAAGCTTTATCAATTTTGCGTTATCAGCCTTACTAGTGATGCAAATGGTTAGCTTGGTTCGGGTCATGGCTAATTTTGATTAATCTGATTTAAGAACAATTTTTAAGAAGAACAATCTATAAGCAAACCAACCTTTAGTCGAGCAGAGCTGTTAATAATATGAATCTTAGCTCATCATGTTCTAAAGAACAGGTAGATGTATCATGAAAATCCAAATCGAATAATCCCAATCTTTTTTTTTTTAGATCAGTGTTTGTGAAAATTTTTTTTAATACTAAAAAGGCAGTTTATAGCAACATTACGAATTATTGAAGTTATTGGCGATTTTCAATGAAACAGCAACTAAAACGTTCTTGTGTTCTCAATGTCATTAGAGCCTGATACCACTAACCTAAAAATCAACTAATATAAATTCATAACCGCAAACAAAAGGCAAGTAATATTATTAAAATTAGTGTAATTTTATAATATGCTGCACTAAATGCATGAAAATATAAAAGTGAATTAAGGTGCAATTTGAATTCACAAGGAAAAAGCTGAAAAAGAATATTTTATAATCGGCTATGCTAAATGTGTGAAAATTCAAAAATGAACTAAGGTGGTGGTGCTTCGAATTCACAAGGAAGAAATAGATCGGGAGGAAAAAAAAAATTATAGAAGATAATTCCAGTCACCAAGCCAAAGCCTCCACCTATTTTATAATTTTCTACAATATAAATAGATTAGACAAAAATTTTCATAAATATTATAAAAGAACAAGTAAATTGCAAATAAAAATATTTTTGAATTCATGTTGTAATATGAAAAGAGAGCCCAATTTGATCATAGTTTATAGTCATGAATTTTGTTTAATGTGTTTTTGTTCATTTTTATCATATCTACCTAATAATATTCGAATAAAGCTGTCTTAATTCTTCATTAAGTTGAAAAACGAAGGATATTCCATTTTGGGAATAGAGCCATTCGTAATATCGGAAAATCAATGAGGTTTTAGTGAATGCAATAAAAAGTTGGTGTTTTTATTAAAGTAAATAAATAATTTATATTATGGAAAATTTGTTTCTATTGTCGAATGATGCACTTTATATGTTGGGCTAATGCTCAAGTTTTGTAAATGCACCATAATGATTTACAATAAAAAATTGTATAAATGCGCAGGTATTGTAACGAATTTAATTTTATAATCTTACCCTTTTTGGTGTAATTGATTATCTAACTAAATTAGTATCGTGATTGTTAAAGCCCTCGAAGGAGGCAGTGTGCACATTGACATGAGGCTAACACAATAGTGTGGTGCCTCTGATGTCATAAAGTAGGTTCCAAAATGTGTTCTCTTTCATATTAATCGAAATGTATAAAAGTGAAGCATTAATTATAATAAACGGCATTCATTGTGCATCGCTCTCCCAACTAACCTTTACAGTATCCGTCTTCTTTGCAGCTAATTTTCTGTTATAAAAAAAAAATTTACTTCGTAAAACCATTTCTTCTAAAAACATGATGTCTTTACCAACCGAATGCATCATCGTAATTTTGAAAAATCTTCAAGGCCTACACGGGCCTTGCTTTTTCTTGCCTTCTCATGAACTGCCTTTGGTGTCGATTGATCGTGGAAATGTTGTGAAGCGATCTTGGCGAACAGTTTGATGACCCCAGTGTCATCACGACCCTACTCTCGTTTTTAAACCCCGAAGAACAATCGCTCTTAATCCCCTTCAACATCAAACTTCCGACCCCCCACTACCACCATTGTTTGAATATAATAAATTTATTCAAACAATTTCGTCACATTTCACCTCCAAGGGGCAAAAATTAATACGATAAATTTCAATTAAATAACGGTTATAGAAAGCAATATACAACACATAGAAATAATACAAATAATTTAAAGTTTAAAACACATAGAAATAATACAAATAATTTGAAGTTTGAAACACAGAAATAATACAAATAATTTGAAGTTTGACATTCTAAAAAAATAACACTAATTTAGTTTATTTTTATTTAATTATTTGGCTTTAGTTTATTTGTTTAGTTTCTTCAATAAATTATGTACAGTTACAGTTTGGAACAGGATTTCGTTTTTCGATTCGGATTTAATAAAATATGCATCGAATTTTATTCGATAATGATTTTTTGATCAGAGGTTGTAAGCCCGATAATGAATTGTTTATGAATCGCTTATCGTTATTTACTCATAAATTTGTACCTGATGCTTATAAATTTTTGTACATATGTACCTAATTATGACCTAATTAATTATAAAAGTTTATACATATCGATCGATATGTACCTGATTAAAATTTTTTTGTGCGTATGTTCCTGATTTTAACCTGATTACTTACAAATTTTTTGTACGTATTTACCTGATTGTAACCTAATTACTTATAATTGTACATGATTATAATATCACCTAATTTTTACTAATCACTGTGTTTCAACTGAGATTTTCGCCCATATGATTTCTGACTCTAATATGTATATATAATACCGGATCAGTATAGTACAGTTTAAAAATCGGCCTGTACTATACGGATCTGTTCACTTATGCCATAAAATTGCCGAATAATTTTTTCTCATGGATTTGTAATTTATAATACTAAAACAGGTATAGGCTTTCATATCGTTATCATTATGCAACCAAAACTACCATGTGAGATTACACATGCTACGTATAAAAATAATGCCATTGCAAGATTGACAAATTAAATTGGATAAAGGGTACATTTGCATGAACGGCCATTATTTTATTGTATTTTGATTGTTTTTTATCTCACATTGATGCTAAAAAAAACATTTTTAATGAATGTTTAGTTTGTCATTTAATGGCAAAAGTTCGTGTAACAGTTTGTCGAAAAAAGACCACTAAAAATCAAATCGGTGGATATGTGAAGATCTAATTTTAAAGGGTTGATTTCAGTCAAGTGCTGCTTAAGAGATCCAAAGTGACTACTTCAGAATAGTAGATGCAACGTCTACATTCACGCGCAAAAATCTATTTTCGAGAAACATGCCAATAATCATGAATCTAATAAATTTACAGACACCCAATTATTAGGGCTGGATTCTCGGGTATAGAATTCGTAATTCATTGTTGTTTTTGACTAATCTTTCCGCAAGAAGATGGGTTAGATATTTATTTGAGTGCCACCAAGTGAAAACCAATATGTCTAAATATAGGTTACTATAAACTTTCATTACTTCGAGATATGCCCACCGATTATGATCAACGAACAATTAGCATTTGGATTTTCTAATTGTTAAATAGCGTGACAGGCATAATAAATCATATTTGTAAGGGTTTCTAATATCTATTAAACAACACTTAGCAAAATAAATTCGTTGTGACAAATATGGGTATGTAGATAAAAAAAAAAAAAAAAAAGAAGAGAATTGTTATTGCTACCTGTCACGGAGTTAAGCGATACCTCGTACTTGTACCTAAATCTTACCTAATAAAACACTCGCTTGCTATTTTTATTTAGAGACAAGGATTTTATTTAATACGAATTCCTCTCTCTAATCCTCTATTCTGCTCCTTTACATTTCTTATTTATACTAATATTTAACTATTACGGTACATGCAATTGCGTATTACATATCGATTTGCATACAGTGTTTAAAATTCAGAACAAAAATTACTTGCAACTGTGCAAATAAAAAATTTTTTTACTTGCCGTTTGCAAGGATAAAAAAAAGGGTTGTTTACACAACTATAATTTTTGCAAAAATATATATACATATATCATATAAACTTTGTGCAAATTTTTTTAAATTTTACCATTTTGCATAAATGTTTTACAAAATACTTGCACATTAAAGAAAGTTCTTGCACAAGTGCATCTTGTGCAAGCCAATTTTAAAAGCTGTTTGCATAACTAAGCTAAATGTAATTATCGTATTATACTTTCGATCGTTATCCTAATTCTAACCGTCCATTACGTGGCACTACCCTATTTTTGTTATTGCTATCCCTAACTAGTTTTTAATTCTAACCCTAACCCTAAATTAGATTAGAGTTAGGTTTAGGATGGTAATGACATGAAATCGCGGGATTAATTTGGTGAAATTCGGATCTAAATTGCTTCCGTATGAGGTGCACAAATTCAGTACAAATGCACATATTAGTACAAATACAAAATCATTTCATTCTTTATATAGCCATCCTGGTATACAATTTACTTCACTTATGAGTTATACAATTTACATCACTTATGAGTTATACAATTTACATCACTTATGAGTTATACAATTTACATCACTTATGAGTTATACAAATTTCCCAGACTTTTCGCAAGAAATTGCAAAGCTCCTACAAGAAGCAGTTAATAATTTTGATGTGCTCATTCAAGCAGAGGAGAGTCAGATGTGAGAGAGTTTCGGGCGCATTCTCTTATCCTGGGTGCACGGTCACGTTATTTTCACACAGCACTTGCTGCAAAAAATGACAGTACAATTCGCATAAAGATAAACATTTCGCCAACAGTGTTCGAGCCCATACTCAAGTATGCTTTTATTTTTTTTAAGCGTATTTTAATAATAAACATATAAAGTTATTCTAAATTATATTTATATTTTATTTCTTAAACGAACAGATATATATACAGCGGCGAAATTTGTTATGAACAATCCGAAAACGTTTCCGACCAGAATGCATTCCATGCTTTAAGTATCTTGATGGCCGCTAATGAATTAGTAATCTACAAACTTATCGAATGTACTCAAACCTATCTAATTGAAAAGCAAACGTCATGGTTACAACAAAACCTTGTCAATACTTTGCAAATAGCTTGTTGTTACAAACCCTTCGGTGTTTGTAGAAATCCATATACATTGTTCGATTCTGATGATTTTCTGCACTTGGATGAAGCTGCGCTTATTGAAATTCTCAAGTGTGACGACCTCGAGATGGGCGAGGTCGAGATATGGCACTATCTAATTAAGTGGGGCATCTCTCGTACTAAGACACTTGATCTTAAAAATCGTTCTCGTTGGTCCGACCAGGATTTCTCAACTCTTGAAGGATTGTTGCATCGTTGCATTCCTTTAATAAGGTTTTTCCAAATGTCTTCCAATGATTATTATCAAAAAGTGAGAGATCCATTTCAAAAAATCCTCCCTAAACAACTCGATGAGGATGTAATTCGATATCACTTGGATTCTGGTGGTAAATCTGATAAAATAAAATCTCGTGTCCTCCCACAACGAGTATCATCATTTCCATTTGACTCCACAATTATTAATGCCAAAGATGCTGCCCAAATTGCAAGTTGGATTGATTATAAAAATGGGAGACCGTATACATTTAAAGAATGTCCATATAAATTCAAGCTTATTATGCGCGGCAGTCGTGACGGGTTTGACGTTAATAGTTTTCACAAAATTTGTGATAATATGCTTCAGACTATTGTTGTAATAAAAGTTTCTGGAACAGGAGAGGTAATTGGAGGGTATAACCCGCTTCAATGGAAAGCAGGATATCAGGAAACATATATAGAAACTAACTACTATTCTAATCACGGCCACTATGTAAAACGAGCACGCGATTATCACGATCATAAATGCGAGACACAGCATAGCTTCCTTTTTTCGCTTAGTGATCGGATATTACCAAAATTGAGCCGAGTTCTTCGACAATCAGCAGACAAAGCTATATTATGGGACGCAAAGAGTGGACTGTGCTTTGGCAATACTGATCTGCGCATGAATCAATCTACTCAGACATCTAACTGGATAAGCAAAAAACAGGTTTACGAGCACCGCATTACCGAATCGGAAACCTTTTTTGCAGAAGAATTTGAAGTGTTTCAGATAGAAAAATTACCATTTGAATTTGAGTTCCCTCAAATTCAATTGAGTCCCTCTCAAATTGACAACATCTCTGACAAGGTTTTGATAGCTATTTTACTTATAGCATATTTATTTCAAATACGTATTGTCATTGTTTTGTATGTTCTTATGCTTCGTTACTTATTAAAAGATGGATTACAGAAAAGTGCATCACAGGAAAATCAAAAATAAACCTTCATTATTAGTATATGAGCGCCGCTAAGCGAAAACCTGCCATCAAAATTTGGTACCGGACACAATCTATTTAATTTGTTAGGGATATGTCCGATACAAAATATAATTGTAAGCCAGATGGCAGGTTTTCCCTTGGCAGCACTCATAGTTTCGGATGATAATTATTTTTTATTTCTTTTATTTACTAAATATTTGGGGTCTTTGCTTTGAAAATCACGTTATGGGACATATATTTACTTTGTCCCATAACGTGATTTTCAAGGCAAAGACCCATTTGTTATTTACTTATTTTTGATTTTTCTTCTCTTTTCATTTATTTATTTATTATTACTAGTATCACTCATGCTGCTGATTAAGAATTATTTAAAGTAATTACTGCTTTCAGTTCTATAATAAAGCCATCATATAATGTAGCCCAAAATTTCCATCTTTTGCAAAAAGTCCTAAGGCTCAATTCCGGACTTTTCCTACGGATTTTTTTCTTTCTCTTTTTTCTTTTAATATGGGCTAGGTGCTGAGAAAAGGGACGAATTGACAAAAAAAAATATCTTCGGAAAATCAATTTTTATGTTGTAAATCTTATAATAAATCATAAGAAAATGCAAACTTTAAAGAGCTATACCACAAAATTTAATACATACTGTTGTGTCTTACGTGAAAAATGATTCTAATCTTATTCTAAATTGATTTTATGTAAAAAATATACATTAAAAAAATTGTCAATTTCGTCCTTTTTCTCAGCACCTAGCTCATATTATCGTTTTCTTTTATTCAACAAAAAAAATTTAGTCATTTATTTACAAATTCATGTATACTTGATTCAAATTAGTATAGTTCAACATTTCGCCTAATTTTTTTCAAATTAGTACTGTATAATTATGTTAAAAAATGATTTTTATTTGTTCAGTCAATCGATAATATCAATATCATATTTCGGTATTTTTTATATACCTACTATAATAAATATTGTCACGTAAAATTATGTAGAATTTTTATTGAATTTTATAAAAACATTATAAACCCAATGTAGATTTATATAGCTATTTATATAAATTTATTATATTTCTATATATAACTATGTAAAATTGCCAAAAAAATTTTAATCATTAAAGCTAGGATTAGATTTAAAGTTTAAACTAGGGGTTTTGAGCATTAACATTTTTGCTTAGTGCATCGAGCGGTAATCACCTTAGTCACTTTTGAGAAATAGCTAAAGTAAATTAAATAAATATTTAAATAAAATTTATATAAATTTTATTTTTATATAGATGAGCATGACAGAAGTTCTTTGTTATTGGCTATCACTCAGATGATTTTCATTAAATATGGTTGGCTAATTAATATCTATACTAGGAAAACAGGTGCTGTTGTAAATTTAGTACCATAGCCATCCCGAAAAAAAGTATCGAACAAGTGAGATTTTGAACTACCCCAAGAAACCTCCAAAAATTTTGCACAGTCACATGATATTACATAATTGTGTAACCGTGATCATCAGATTCAAGGACAGTAATTTTATGTGGTGACAAAATCAAGTAATGTGAAACATATTTGCTAACTTATGTACGATTCTGTGACAACTTGACCAAATTATGTGAGATTCTGTAGTATATTTGGCCGAATTATGTGATTTCGGTTCAAAAAATTTTATAACCTTAACGTAATTTGAGTTCGTTCAAATTCTACATCGAAATATATCAGATCCGTTAGACTTTATTCATTGCCTCAATAAAAATTGTCAAATTATGTGCCAATTCTTGTAAATTAGTGCACATTATTGGACGACAAAAAATAACAGTCAAATTTTTTTTTTCGTCGGAATTAATGTCACTCCATGTGCTGCGTAGCAGCACATGAGTGAAATTAACTCCGATGAAAAAAAAATCATGCCAAAAAAATTCACATGATCATATGAAATGTCGGATAACTACATTATGCGATATTACATCATATTATGTGATATAGGCATATTTATGTGAATTCTGTGATAGTAACATGATCAAATGACATGTTTGAAGTAATTCACGCTCATGTGAAGATCTGCAAAAAACATCCAATAGGTGATCACAATTTTGTGTAATATAACACAATCAGAAAATTTCAAAACAAACGTTCGTTTTTAAGAGTTAAAGAAAATTGCTTGTTTTTTGAAAATTAGCATAATAAGCCACTTCTGCGCATTAACAAAAAAATTGCCTTGAGTAATTTTACTATATAATTACTAAATTCTAATCCTCATACAAATTCTAACCATATATAAATAAACTTTAAAAAAATTTATTCATATCACAAAAGCATGAATTTTTGTTGTGACCTGAGTAAGATACATGCTTGATACTGTAATAATTTTACTAGAATAAAGTTTTTTATTATATCTTTTTTTTATTATTTATAGTTTTTTTTACACAAAATTTAATTAGAATATACAATAAATAAAACTAAAAATGAAACTAAGTGCAAATGTTCTAGATGTTGAAAATATCTGCCAATTAATCAATTTACTGATAAAAAAGAAACTTCTAAGTCTTGTGATTTATATTTTTTACAATCTTTAAATTATTATAAAAATTACTTAAATTTAATCAGAAAGAAATATTGTTTTCTAAATAAATAGTTAAAAACTTTTAATACTGTTGCTACAATTCAAATAATGAAAATTTAGAAAATGAGTTAGCTGAAATTATCTTTGAATACAACATTATATTGGATAGTTTTAGAAATATATATAATATTCTGGTTTTACCATAAAATTCTGATATCCAAAATCTTGAAAACCATAATCTCGATATGCTAATTAATATTTAAAGATTAATAATCACATTAACAATCATTGTCAGTCTTTAAATTTTTAATTATCATGTCATGTAATGTCAGTATTATGACTTGTCAAGATTTGGAATGTTGGAATTTTGTGGTAAAACCATGATATTCTCTATGAAATATTCAAAAATATTACTAATTTAATTGTGATAATAATAGAAATTATTATATTTATTATAATGTTTATTATTTCAAAAAATTAAAGAATTAAATGCACTTTAATATCATTATTTTCAATGTTGAAATTTAACAAAAAAGTTATAAGTATTAGAATTCTATTTACTAAAAAATCTATGAATTAATAGAACAATTTGACTATAGAGATATTCTTTGAATCAGTATAGATATAACAATCAACTATACATTTTTTTATTTAAAATATGAATTCTTTATTAATGATTTAAAAAAAATATTACAAAAGAAATTAAAAATAAAATTAAAAAAAACTTTTATTTAACTTCAAGAAATATTTATAGAATATTAAAACAGAATTTTTTAGAAATAATACAAAAGCAGATTATGTGTAGTAGATTAAATTTATCTAAAATAAGTTTATTTATAAAATTAATTAAATAAAATTTTTTAGAAAAGTTTAACTACAGCCAGACCTCTTTATAATCACATCCCATATAATCACACTTTTATTTAAGCATTCTAATTTGTATAACAGACTTAAAATATAATGCAAAAGCTTATTATAGTCACAAATTACTTATAATCACTATCACCTTAAAATTTAATTTTTAAATTAATTTATTAATAAAAAATCTTTTTATAATTACTAATTTATTAATTAAAAGTTTTTGTACTAAGTTAACCACCTTTGAGTTTTTAAGTAAAGTTGCAAAACTTATTAAAACAAATCTAATAGTCGAAATCAGCCTAGTAAATGCTGAAATATCTTTAAAAAATATTTTGCTAACTATATAAAATTCTTGTAAAACAATATAAAGAATTTTTCTATAGTTAGCAAAATGTTTTTTGAAGATATTTCAGCTTTTACTGAACCAATTTTGATAATTTAACTATCATTAAATTCATTTAATGAGCTTTACAACTTTACTTAAAGAGTTAAAAGTAGTTAAATTAGTATAAAAAATAATTTTTAAATGCAGGACACTCTTAACTAATAAATTATCAATTAACAGATTAAAATAAAATAAGCTAAAATAAAGTTTTTTTTAATTTTAAGAAAAATTTAAACTTTTTAGTGACTATTTTTTGGAGTTTTTTTAAGACTAGAGTTAGAATTTAGATTTAGAATTATTAATAAATTAGTATATGTAGGTTTTATAAGCTTTAATAGTAAGCAAAAGAGGTCTTTAGTTTTATTTTATTGTTGTTTTCAAAATCCTGTGTCCCTATACAATTGACACCTAACAATGGAATCAATTGCAGAATCAATTTTAATACCTTTGCATCTCAATAATTATTATAAATTTTGGAAATGCAGGGGTATGAAAATTGATTCTGCAATCAATTCTATAGTTAATTGTTAATAATGTAGAGACACAAAATTTGAAAACAGCAATAATTTAATTTCATTTTAAGCTGTGACAATCATTAATTAACTAAAAATTATATAATATTAATCAGATATTTGTTTATAGTTATACCTCTATACAATTATTACATTAGAGTATGATTAACTTGATGATTATATACAGGTTAACTATATAAGATTATTATATTTAATAATAACAATGAAGTAAATATTTGGATTTTCTTAAATATTTTATAAAAATTTATAAAAAAATAAAAAATATTTATAGATATAACTTATAAAATAAATATATTAGAATATAAACTTTATTTAATAATAAGTTAATATAATAATACAAGTTTTGTATTAGCATATTTGTTTATTGAAAAAATAAGCATAGTATATAAAAAAAATTTTAGTAAAATTTTTAAAATTTTACTAAGTCTAAAATAGATCAAGTGATTTATCTGTATATAGGTTTTATAATCCATATAAAAATAATTTTTATATAGTTGCAATCTAGTTAAAATTTTATTATAAATATATTTGTATTTTTAGTCTTACATAAATTTAAACTCAATTTCTTTTTCTTTTTTATTTATGATTTAATTCTACTATTAGTTATTGCTTTTTTCTTACTATAGGAATTATCACCCTATTTTTATTATTCTTATTTGATAGATTTAGATTGATC